CATATTTTTCATTTATCGAAAAGAAATACAAATCCATCACTCCGGGATTTAATAATTTCAGTTTAATTAGTCAACATTATAATTACTTTGTTGCCTGTCCGTGTCCAATCAATTTCTTCTTTTAAAGGGACGCTAATTTTGTCTCTTTTAACTTTAGTCTTTTGGTTTGCTCCCCTTTCATTATTAACTATAAAAAATGTAATTACGGTACCAAAATGGAGGGGCTAAAAATCTATACAGTTAGAAAAGAAATACATCAAATGTAATGAAATTAATTGTCATTATTTCATAAGAAATTTAATATTTAAAAGCAAAAGCCTCGTCTACCGTATAGATGACAGTAAAGGAAGTCTAATTCCGTTGAAATATTTACTTGAGCTAAATAGTTATTTCATGATTCATAATGTTATATACGGACTTCTTTTCATTAATAACTTACCTAGAATATTTCTCACTAGTATCGTGTAAGCTCTGTTGTCGTAGGTCCACATCGTTACACTAAAATTTTACGCCTAGTCAATCGAATAGAATACAATACTAAATACCTTTATGATCTTGAGCAGATGTTACTACCTCGTACAATAGGTTTTATGTTGAATACGGCTCAAAGGTAATCGATACAAAAAATATCGGTCCCTTTTTATTTATTTTAAAGTTTCAATTCACGCACCGCCATCGAACCTTTTCTTATTTCAATATTAAAACTGTTTCGCATTAACAGATCACACACAAACACACACCCACACAATTCATGTGTAAACAAAGAATTAGAAAGGTACGCATATCCCACTGTTTGTTTTTAACGTTAGAGACAAACAAACTGGTGGACCTGCCATGAAGACATCAAACAACCATCAACATGTAGTTTTAATTAAGGACGTGACCTATCCTCACCAGGAATCAACGGTCTTAATTATTGAACTAACTGCAGTGGTCAAGTTACCTAGACACAAAATTGAGAAAAATGAAAACAAGTATAAATTGTGTGTTTTTTTAATTAGAGGGCTGCATGAACGATATAGGATGCATACACCATGTACATATATCATTCATGAATTAAAAAAACAATTAGAAAACTAAGACAGAAAAGATAGGAAAACAAATTAACACACGAACCTAATAGAAAAAATACATGAATAAAAAAAATTCTGAAAAATTTTCCTTTGAGATATTTGTTTAAAAACCATCTATCGTTAAGTAGAGAATTTCAATATAAATAAGCATGCAAAGTTTCAATTATGTAGTTCCAAAACTATTCCTCCTGATTCATCAATTGACGTCAGAAAAAACAATGAAAATGCTACATCGATAAAAGCTGAAAAAGACACTGACAAATGCTTATTTAAAAAAATTAAAGGTTACTTGAACAACATTGGATGCATACATCATGAACACATTCCACTCGTTAATTACAAAAAAAAAACAATTTAAGTACATACATATAATTGATAGAATATAAATGAATGCATTTTCCCAATAACCCACTAGACTGGAGCCTAAAAAAAAAATAAGATCATAAAAACTTCGGAATTTTGTTTATGAGACATGTAATAAAAAAAAACATCAATCATTATGTAGAGAATATAATAGAAAAAAACCTTGCAAATTTTGAAGCATGTGGTAATAATACTTTTCCTCATAATATATTTGATGTCAGAGATAAATGGAAAATCCTAAGTGGACCACTTTAAAAAGAGAAGAAAAAAATCAATTAAGCAATATTAGAAATATAGGAGTCAAATAAAATGAAATTTAAAAGCATATTGTGAAATTATCACAAAAGATAAGATTTTCTAGATATTTTTACAAATGTTAAACAATATTGTAGAACATGTTAATGTTTTTAATAAGAAATCAATAGACTCAGTTTAGGAAACAAAAATCTGCCCAAGAAATATTTTTAAAAATGGTTATTTACACAATTTTTTAAAATAATTTTCAGCACATTAAAAACATTTACATCTTTATAAAAGTGGCTGAAATCTTTCGGAGCCAATCATTGCGAATTAGCAGTGAAAATAAATTTACAAGAACAATTCAAGAATGACGATTATCTCAGCAAGGCCTTTTCAAAGACAGTTGTGTTCAGCTGTCTATGTTCTATATAACGGTATTCACTTTTCTGCGTGTTAACTTGTCCGTTGTTTCACTAGTCCTGTGTTTGGATGTGTTATGGTGAATTGTGGGTTTACTTGTCCTGCGTTCATTAGCGCGGCCCCCGCAGCGGACACAAACCATAAAGTTTATGCAGCATTAACGATCAGAAATCTGCTTAAAGTAAACCTATACACGGGTAAGCCGCGGCGACTGCGTTGCTGCCCACAGCAACATGGCAAGGCCGTGGAGGCCACGTCGCTCTAGCTATGCCGACGTATTACTTTAGTGTATCAGAGAATCACCAGACCAGGGAAACCAGGCGCATGGGGAAAAAAAGGTGCTAAGTGAGAGACTCGGCTACGTAATAGAATTCCACCAACAACAGAGAGCGACCAATGTCCAAGCGTTGGTTGATGTGTCACGTGTCCTCATAATGAGCAGATCTGGGAAACGTTACGAGCGGACCAGGGATTAGATATGTTGCGATATGTTCACTAGAAAGTTGTGCCACCAACTACCATTAAGATTCAAAAAAAAAAAAAACTCTTCAGCTCGCCAAAAATGCCGCCCCTCATTATAATTTTTTAACAAAAATGGCACCTGTGCGGACCACCCCCTCCACAGCCCCCCTCCACAGCCCCCCTCCTATGCAAGTGGATTGACTTTTTCTCGACAATTGTGAGTCATAGTAGGCAGATAAGCTATTTAAATAGTTTGTGGTTGGTCAGCTCTAATTTGATAGATGGCACTTAATTATTTAGATGCCACCTCAGTTGACTCTGGTTTGTGGTGAGGAAAATGAGAGGCAGTGTTAGTGATTTTATGTATCTGGATAGAACCAAGTTGCTTTGTTAGTCATCTGTTTGCAATGGTGTTTATTTCGCTACTGACATATATTTCATTACTTTCCCGCTTTTTGCCTCTTAGTCTTAGTAAATCACCAGCTATTTATTGAGAAAGAAATCGAAAATGTCACAAATTTTAATAAAGGAAATCGACAATTTCATTTAAAGTTTTTACAAACATTTCGCACATAACCCCCACCCTCAAAATTCTAGCCGCGTTAAGTCCGTAATGGATGCACAACCGTGCAAAGGAAAAGCCGCGCCCTGGGCGAATGCGCCCCTGACATTGAGGTCCCTTGCGAGTACCCCCTTTACATGACTGTGCACGGATCCAGTGGGCTAGAAAGAAATATCAGACAAAGTAGCAGATAGATCTATAAATTTTTTTTTAAAATTACTTAAATCTAAATATATCCAATTGGGCAACTTTTATAACGTATCTTTGAAGACAGAAGAGTTCTACTTGTTTTCCCACAATGGCGTCGTAAATGACAAAAGGTTCATGAAATGTATGCTGCTTTTTTTTTATCTTGTTCAATTTTGTTAAATGTTTTTTTGTAAATGAACAAAAAGACGCTATTTTATGCCTTTAGTTCCATCCGGTAAAGAGGAAGTTTTAATTTTATATCACTAGAAATAATTAATCGCGCTTAAATTTCATTGCCTTTCCTTTAAGTTTAAGTAAGCAGGTACTTTGACACAAAATTTTAATATTATCCGATTGCCATATGATATATGATACATCATTTTAAAGGGCTAGCTATAAGCTTTACAACAACACCAATTTCATTTTTATATCTTTTACAGAAGTGGAGTTATGATTTTTTGGGTGATTTTTTTTTTTAAAACCGCCTTCTTTATCTTAGTATTTAACTGAAAAAACGTGTGACCCACTTTCCAAAGTTCTGCCTTATTTTGCCCAAAACTTTTGGATTTTAAAAGATAATGCTACCAAATTGTCAGGAGACATTACACCAAAACAAACAACATAACTTTTATATAACATCAAGATTTATATATATATATATATATATATATAATATATAATAATAATATATATTTGTGAGTATGTTCAGAAAAAAGTGAACAGAAAAATTTGGGAAAATCATTATTTATAATATAAATTATATAGGAAAAAACAAAAAAATAACATGAAGTACTTTAACTTTTAAGCCTTAAACATTAAATAATAGTAATAGTATTGGGCGTAGTTTAATGGATTTCTTCAGACCAAAAACTGTAGCCCATACTGCCCATACTCAAGCATGTGTTGTCTATACTATATTATATGGTACCAGCTTACACAATGAGTATATTTAATCACTTCTTAATCATAAGCTCACATGATCATTTTCAAAATGAATGCTGCAGATGGGGGCTTCAGAACTTTTTCACAATTAATTCTGTGTTTAATGACTTTGCATACAATACATAGGCCTAGATCTTCAACTTGTAAATTGATAAATTTTTAAATGTCACCTGTTTTTTGGCACTTTGCACCTGAGGTCTGTCTTTTTTCGGCTTTGAAAATATTACTCTTAATTTACCTGTACACCACTCTTGAGTGACTAATTAAATTTACTTTCTTATACTGTTGACATCTTTCACAGTTTCCGCGGGAAAAATATGGATATACTAAATTGTAGGCCTATACAAAGTTTGTTTTACTCCTTTTTTTTTCTAAGGGGCCATATAGTTAGTTGTTTTTTTTTGGACACCCACTTGTGCATGCTCAATGAGCTTTTGGCCCCAGCCCTAAAAAATCAGACACCAACAAAATCAAATAGATTATTGATTTTTATGACAAGCCCAGTGGTGTCCAGAATATATACTTAGTTGCTCTGGGTGCCACATTGCCCTTTGACAGAGTCATTATAATGGGGCACAGTGGGCAGTAATCATCTTTAGGTAGGACCATAATAGTGAATTAAACTATTATAGGTCCATAAATAAGTTTAATTTTGTAAACATTGTTAATAATTGTGAGTTGGTGAGATGCATTTGTTTAATACTGTCCACCATATTTCAAATTTTACCTTTCTGTTTGAATGATTTATTTCAAATGATTTTTTTTTCCAGGAGCCCAATAACTTAAAAAGTAGGAATTCTTTCCGTTACAATGGCCTGATTCATTCTAAGACAGTTGGTGTTGAACAAACTAAAGATGGAAAGGGTGTTGTGTTGGTAACCCGAAAAGGAAAAGGTGATTACCTAAAGATAACTTTCTTTTAATCAAATATATTTTATCAAACTTAACCATGTATGAAACAGCGTCTAAACTTTACCCAAATTTGGTGTATTCAGTGTTTATTCATTCCAGAAATTAATTCAGACATAAAATTGAAAAATGTATTTTATTTTTTTTTCTTCAAAATTTAATTTTACTGTAACTGGAAAATATCACAGAACCAGGAAACCTATGTGACACTAAAGTGATTATCAATGGCAAAGCAAATTACAAGGTATTCTTCAAGCTTAATGTCAAACTAAATGAAATTCTGGAGAGTTGTAATTAAATTAGAACTGAATCAGTTCGCTTTAAATAATGTAGTAACAGAAACTTAGAAACATCACACTTTTGATTGTTGTTGATGAATCAGGCTCAGTGATTATCAGTTTCTTGGGTTATTGGACACAAACACCATAATCCTTTCCCATTACCTTTCTGGGGAAAAGGGTGGGTGTTTTAAGTCCTGGGTGTAATAATTTGATAAATCTTTCGAGAGACCATGAGGTGGAACACTACTTAAAACCCTGGTCTTTGCATTCATTGATACATATACTTTTAGTCTCTCTGTTATTAGGTAGTCTAAACTGATATTAACTATACATAGCAGACATTTGTGGCTTCGTGGTGAGTTTCACCTTGTATAACTTTTTAACTAAGATATACAATAATCATTTTATGTCAATTTTTAAATACCGGTAAGCAAAAAGTTGTGCAATTTTTAAATTTGGTGAAAATCGACCAAAAATTATTCTGGAAAAGGTCCTTTTTCAAGGCCCTATACTATATGGTCTAAAATAATCAACAGAGAAGTCCAGCAATTGGTGTATTTTCTCCAAAGTTTATATTATTTAAACCCAAGCATGCAACTAAAATGATCAATATTTACTTTTCAAAAAGGTTTACAGAAACCAAATAAGTCCCTGACAAAAGTTGAGCTGAAGAGAGGTCCAAGAAAAACCATCGCTGTCATTCGTAACTCACTGAAGGCTAATAACTACCGCAGGGACTTGGTCAACTCTGCTGTTAGGACATGTGCTATTCTTAAAAGCCAGAAGCCTGTTGTTATTAAAAGCAGGACTCGCTCAGCAAAGAAAAAATAAACTTATGTTCAAAATAAATATAGTTGAAAACTAAAGTTGTATTGCTTGTTTATCTAAAATATTGTGTTTACATTACAAAGTGCTGTGTCCATTTAAGTTTAAGAATAGTTCACAAAGATATAAAGATAAGTAACACATTTTTGGAGTAGGTTTTATTACAGATATTTGAATGATGCTTTATTTCCAGTACATTTATCTTTAAAAAAAATATCTCTTGGCTATTTTGAAAAAGTTTAGGAAAATGCTACCTCATATCTTATTGACACTAAAATTTTGAAATACGGTAGTAGAACAAAATATGTTTAGGCTTGAAATTATAAGGCAGGTCAATTAAAAGGACATTTTGGCTTGATAGCCAAAGTATATGCCTTCTCTACCATATATTCAAAGTGACGCATACAAATATTTAAAAGACAGGCGCAACTAGGGCCCATTTGGGTACCCGTCCATAACCCCCACCTCTAATGAATAAATTTGATGAAAGAAATGATCATTGAATTAAAATTAGGGTAAATACAGTACCAGTTTAGTTCGGATAAGTTGGATTGGATGTCGGTATCAATGTTTGTTTTTGAAGAAATCACAAGGCCTTAAGACTAGGCATGCAGAATAGATGTGTATGGTATACACAGATTAAATCTAATAAAATGTTTTTTATTCGGGTTTAGTGATTAAGATTTTGTTTAAAGCTAGGATTTCCTACTTTCAATATAGCATTTTCCCTCCTATTTTATGAAACAAGTCTTTCCAATCCAACCATTTAAATTCCAGTATCCAATCATTTACATTGAATAAGCAGTATTGACTAATTATTGAGTTTATTCTTTCATTCCCAGACATCCAAGAGGCAAACAAACCAATAATTTTTTTATTAATTTATGTTTAAATTTTAATTACATAAATTAAATCACATGCAAGGCAAGAACAAGAGATCACAAATTTAAAAAAATTATAAACACATTTGTATAGGTTAGGTACTGGTACCATTTTAAGGGTACCAGTTATGTTAGATATATATAAATTGATGTTGCAGTGTTATAGAATATTTAATCGGCATAGTTTGATAGATACTTGATATACCTCAATACAAACTAATAATATGAGCTTTTTTGATATGAATGGTTCAATTAACATGATAAGATACCACTTGCACAATCACAGACATAATCTAAAACTAAAATAAATGTATAATTATATGTAAACAAAATGAATTTATACATTTTTGTAAATTAATATTGATAATATTTTTTTTTCTCAAACTAAAATGAGATTATACATTATTACCACTAAGTTAAGATTTTATAGACCGCCTAAACATTTTGAATGGAAACCTTCGAAAAATAAAAATAATATTCCAATATACTGCTCAATGCAATTATGCTTATACTTTTATTTTCTGAGGTTCAAATTGGGAAACGGAACATTTGTCAAGCTAAAATATGTACAATCAGCCTCAGGAAATCCACTTACTTTAACTTTAATGACTTAACAAAAAGAAAAGTTTAAATCAATGGAACAAGTGAGCAAAAATTGTTGATATAGTTGAATACCTTAAATGGTAATACATTCATTTTAAAGTAAACTTGTAATTGTAAAAGAAAAAAAAAAATCATTTACAGCATGAAAGTATTGGTCTGGTATTGAAAAGAAGATGATTTAAATAAGTAATATCTACAGCAATTTGAAATTTACAATAGTTATCTATATGATATAAATATGCATTGTTGTGACTAATACTAATACGGGCATTAATTATTACTAATAACAGCAATTTGATCTCCTTAATGAATGAATGAATGAATGCCCCGACATGAAAGGTGCTAAACAAATAATAATATGGTTAACAGCAGCAAAACAACAGAATTTGAAGCATAAATGATTAAGGCATGAAGCAGGCAAAAATATCTAACATAAATGTTCATTACTTTAGCTATTTTTGAATGACATAATGGACAAAATCTACAACCACCTGTAACAACAGTGTATTCATCAGAATCATTATCTGACATCAGAACTGCTGGAATCAGTGTTATTTGTTTCTTCATCACTGCTGCTATCTTCATCGCTATCATCATTGATTTGATCTCTTTCAACAGTTAAAGGACTATCCTCTGCATCTGATCCATGCAAATCTTCAAAATCACTTTCAAATCCTCTATCCATTTGCCAGTTAAAATGACTCTCTCTTCCTCGCCTACTGTTCAATCTTCTAGGAAACAGTGAAAGGCCTCTGCAATACATGTATCGAATGGTATTAGATAATGTAAGATAAAGTAAGCATAGAACAACTATTCCAAGATATGTCTCCTTTGTTATGGCAGTGATTATATTTGCACAAGTAAGCCTAAGATTTCTCCATGAATTTTCAATACATTGCATAATATACAGTGGGAAATATGACACAGATGAAAGCACAAATCCAAGACCATGCCAGACCCCTAGTATTAAATTGTAACAACAACTTCCCATGGCTGTTACCGGTACAATAACTTAAATAAAAATAGTTTAACAAACTATTCTACATAAATTATTTCAGAAGTACAGTAAATAAATTTGTATTTGAGCTTAGTATAGTATTTTTAATAATTATTGTTCAAGACTATGAGTACTATGACTATGATTGTAATAGTATTAATAGTTTATAATGTTAAAATAACTTGTAAAATCTATCATTTCAGATAATAATGCCTAACTGTACTTTCCAAGATAACTGGTTGGAACAACTTGAATTCAAACCATGGCTTTCCCAGGACAAGTTTGTGCACAATGCCTATTGTAGGATTTGTTCTAAATCTATTGATATCCAATCAATGGGCAGGACAGCACTCATCTCCCACATGAAAGGGAAAAACATGCAGATAAGCTTAAAGTTAGCCAATCATCTCCAATAAGTGTTCACTCAAAATAAACCTGCTGTGGAGATCTCATTCAGCTAAATTTTATGGGCGTTGAAATGTGTTGATTCAAACTATTCATTTTCATCGCAAGCGGACATTATGCCACTATTCCAACGGATGTTTCCGAATTGTGAGATAGCGAAATCAATGAGCTTAGAAGAAACCAAAATAATGTACATGTCATGTTTTGGTATTGCTCATTTTACTACCTTGCTGGAAAGAAAAACAAAGGATTCTCCATATGTCCTGTTTGACGAATCCTTAAACAAGGACCTTAAAAAGAAACAACTTGACATTCACATCAGGATGTGGGATTACAATAAAGTCAAGACTCGCTATTACACATCAGATTTCATTGGCCACTCTAGTGCCTCTGACGTGTTGGACTCTTTCGAAGAGAAAGTAGTCAACAGCATCGGACTCAATAATATTGTTCAACTGTCTATGGATGGACCCAATGTTAATTGGGTTATATTTAAAAAAAGCAAGAAAAAATAAATATGAATTTCCAGCATCAGCTAATTGACATTGGCTCTTGTGGACTTCATACACTGCACAATAGTTTCAAGGCAGCTATTGATGCTACTCACTGGGGAGTATCCCAGATTTTGTCAGCGCTGCACACCCTTTTTGAGGACACTCCAGCCCGCAGAGAAGATTATGAAAAAACAACAGGACAGTCCATGTATTCTCTGAACTTCTGCTCCCATCGTTGGGTCGAGAATGCAGCAGCATGCCAGAGGGCTTTGGATATTTTTCCCTTTATGTCTCAATTTTTCGCAAAAGTCGAAAAACGGGAACTGAAAAATCCATCGACCAAGTCGTATGAAATAGTTAAAGAGTGGATAAATAACCCTCTTTCAAGGACAAGACTTGCTTTCATAATAAGTCTTGCAAGACCTATAGAGCTGTTTTTGACAATGTATCAAGGTGACAACAGGAGGAAGAAATGCCAACTGAATGGGACACGGCACTCATAATCCCAATCCACAAAAAGGGATCTAAGTTGATATGCTCAAACTATAGGAGGTATCTCCCTTCTTAATGTAATGTACAAAATCCTCACAAAACTTATAGCAAGAAAATTGGAAACATATAGTGAACAGATCCTAGGGGACTATCAATGTGGATTCCGGCAGAATAGGTCAACCACGGATCATATTTTTACTATAAGATGTCTCCTGGAGAAATGCTACGAATATAACATTGACATACACCAACTATATGTGGATTGCAAAACAGCATACGATAGCGTAAACAGGAATTACTTATAAAATGCTTTACAAGAACTTGGGGTCCCTAACAAGCTTACTCGGCTCATACACATGACAATGGCCAACTCCAAAAGCAGAATCAAGGATCAGGGAGAATATTCTAGGGAGTTCATAGTTAATCGAGCCTCAAGACAAGGAGACTCACTATCATGTATCCTGTTTAACATAACGCTAGAAAGTTATTAGAAGCATTCACATTAGCACCAGCGGAACGATAAACTATTTCCAGAGAGATACTACAGAGCAACGACCATCAGGAACCTTATAATAGCCAACCATTGCAGTACCTGGCATATGCAGATGATATAAAACTACTGGGTAAAAACTGTAATGACATGATTAAAGCATTCAGGGAACTTGAAAAAGCCTCATTCAAAGCTGGCCTTGATATAAATGAACCGAAGACAAAATATATGATAATGTCAAGAAAGTCCCATGCTGATGATAACATCAATATAAACAACCACAAATTTGAGAGAGTGGACACATTCAAATATCTAGGGGCAATTATAAATGAGCACAATGAGATGTCAGAGGTGAAAGAAAGGATAATAGCAGGCAACCGTTCCTATTTCAGTCTACAAAAGCTACTGGGAAACAAAAACTTATCAAGGGGAACAAAGAAGACAATATACACCACCATCATAAGACCTGTAGTAACGTATGCTAGTGAGACCTGGACCCTCACCAGAAAAGCAGAGAACCTGCTCAACACATGGGAGAGGAAAATCCTCCGCAAAATATACGGACCAGTGATAGAAAATGATATCTTGGAGAATACGTACAAGCCAAGAACTTTAATATTTGTACAAAGAACCATCCATAGTCACAATGA